CACAATGAAATTCAGAATACAAAGAAGAAAGGATGAAGACAAGAATAGTAACAAAAGACCTGAGTAGTAAGCTTTGTAAATAAGTATATTGTTATGGGTTGGATTAAATTGCTGAGGCTAATGTGCATAGTTATTTCCCTCCACTTAAGAAGGTTGTAAGAACTCATTGTCTTTGTGAAACAGACAATTAAAATAAAGGTGACCTCTAAAGTTAAAGCACGGGCATAGGTTTCCACCTGGGACAAAGTCCGCTTAGGAATCTGAAGGATGTGGGTGGAGAGGCTTTGCTTGCATTGCTTTAAAGAGAGGTGTGTGTGTGAGAGAAGCAAGGTGACAGGTCAAGGTGAGAAGCAACACCAGGGCACAGGAAGAGTCTGTATTGGACACAGCTACGTTGTTTTGTCCTAAGAGAGCCTGAAAAATGGCTTTTAGGACTCTTACATTCTTGTTCATAAACAGAATAGTATCTCAGATAGTAAAAGAACATAGTGATGAAAGCTATCTGGAAGAACCTAACTGAATTTTGTCTGTCTTGGGTTCAATATCTTACATAAAAAGGGTGTAATTATTTTAGGTAATTATGTGTGTACTAATCATTCATGTGTTGAGCATGTCACAAATCACCTTCATAGTGACATCTCTGTGAGAGAGGGAAATGTCATTAACCATGTTTTACAGGGAGGTCACTAAGATAAAAAGATGGGATAACTGACTGACATTTAAAACATAAGGCAGGCAACTAGATTTAAAATAAAAACCCTCAAAAACCACACAAAGCAAAACAAGCAATAGGACCGAAAGGAACAGTTGCTGTCTCTGGTTATGTATGTAGAAGGAGATCTTTTGTGTCAGGTCTTGTGAGAAGGCACAGAGTGAAGACTGGGACCCCATCTCCTCACATGCTGATGTAAATGGATGTTTCTAGGGTTGCGGCTTGAGAGGGAAAACAGAGGAAAATCATGTTCCTTGGAATAACTGTGAATGCAGTAACTATTCATGCCATTACTAAAGTTCTAAGAAATTTTCTTTGATCAGGACAAGCATTTAAATCCCAGCAATGCTGCAACCACCCAACTGATCCTCGCATAGAAGATCTGTACTTGCTGATTTCACTGGTGGTACTGGACAGCACTGTAACTCAACCCAGCTCCATGTTGTCACACACAGCTACATAAGGAAGGCAACATTACCAGATCTCACTCTGTATGTCCTACCTCTACATGCTTCCAGTTGTCCTGTCAGGACTTTGCGAATCTCTGAAATCCAGGTGTTTTTCAGCTCAACAGAAGATGCCTGAGAACACAAGAGGAAAAGGCAAAGCAGATCTAGTTAAAGCATGCTGCCAATCACTTGGCTGCCCTAACCTACATTTGCTCTCGATTTTCCCAAGGAATGAAACACTGTGGCCAGCTTTGAGCAAAGCAGAGGATGCTCTTCAAGATGGAAAAGTTACCATGAATCTAAGGTCCTGTCCTTGCTTTTCTGTCCAGCATTCCAAGTAATTTTCCACTTCTTTGTTTCCTATTTTACCCCAAATCATGACCATTTTCACAATGATAAATTGGTAATTTCAGTGCCAACACAGCAATGAAGCTTCCAATGGCTATTGTTTCTTGAGTGTACCAGACAGTGAAAGTCATGAAACTGAAAGCTTTCTTAAAAACAGTTCAATTGAAAGGAAGTATAGTCCTTGGGAAAAAAAAGGATTGTTGTTACCTGAATGATATAGACCTCTTCTCTGCCATTATACCAGATCTCAAACTTCTTGTTATCCCCTTTTACATTTTCTGTAATGCCCACAGTGCTCATCTGTTTCAAAATAGAAAAGAAGAAGCCAGAATCTGGTAAATGTCAATAGTCTTTAAACTCTTTATCCTCTGAGAAGTGTTTTTAAAAGGCTGTGTTCACTTCTGCACCTTGGGGAGTCATTAAAAGTAAAATTCAGAACATGTTATTTCTCAACACCTAATTTATCATTCATCTTTTTGACTGTTATAGGAAAAATTAAAAAAAATATTTAAGTGCTGAAATGTAACACAAGCTAATGTCTGATCACGAGTTTATCCTCTTTGCTTTTTTTGCTTGAGCTGTGGGTCAGTTTTCAACCCTATCCTGGCTCTTGTCCACCTATACAAGTTTTCAGTTTGAGGAAGATGGTATTTTCAACTTGCCATCACCGACCTTTTGAGATGGGAGAGGAAGAGGGATGGAACAGGGCTTTGTGAGATTTAATGACTCATCTGCAAATCCAGACAACACAATAAATTCAATATAGTTTCAGGAAAATTTAAAAAAGAGGTGAGCAAGGAGCTAAGTGCCTAACTAGGCAAGATGAACAAGGAACTGAAGAAAATAATTCCAGATTTCTTAAATGATAGATTTTCAACCACAATTTTGAAGTCCAGCCGCTACTATACTTACTAGCTTCCCATCTTCTTCCTGTATTTGTTCATCCCCCTTGTTCTGATTTGCCTCAGCATTAGATTTGAAGATTTAAACAGCTTTGATTATGTCCTCATTGCTGCTATCTATATGAATTGGTTCACTCCTTGAGCCAGGTTCTATTACAACTCCTGTCTGGTTCCCCAGTAATAAGTTTGCAGTGTTACACTTGATGACCCATGTTAGTCGTCTGAAGTCACAAGTGTCACACCAATGTGCTTAAAGGGAACATTTGGCTGGCTTGTGAATCTCAGCTTAACAGAAAATGTCCTGACTCATATCTGGAAATGTCACTCTTGCAAATAAAAGGGCACTTTACTGCACTGTGATTCATCTGTAGCTATTATCTGTTCAACTGATGTCAATAGTAAAACTCGCAATAGGACTGAACTTGGAGGATGCTTATAGGCAGAACAATGAGACAAGCAGGTCCATTCAGTCTTGCTTCTCTTTATGGGACGCTGGGCAAGAACACACAAGGTGCCCGTTTGTATCGAGTTGCAAAACCAAGGTTCACGTCTGGAGCTGCAGAACATATGGCTGGGTCTGTGTCCAGATCAAAACTAAATGGGAGCTTTCATTTAGTCAGGATTGCAAGGTAGCTCCAGATATGTGTACCTTCTTCAAGTCTCCACGTGGAAACATCCCCGTGTTGTAAGAACACTGGATATTATTTTTCTCCCCCACCATTACCACTTTTATTACCTTTAATGAATTTTTAAAGCTGTATGAAGCCGTCTTCTCATGGCCATCTGTGTTCTCCTCCCGTTTCTTGCAGAAAAGTAGTATCTTTGTATAGAGGAAGAGGTGTCTCTGCATCGGTTTGAATCTAGCCAAGTCCTTTACCTTGTTGTGCCCCTTCTTGTGGTCAGTCCACACATTGAAGGAACCTTGCATCAACAGCTTGCCAAGCTCACTGACGTCTCCCTAGCAAGCAAGGAAAAGAGAGAGCCTACATCACGTTCAAACTAGGGTAATCCCAGGCACAGTTCTTTCCCCTAGTGGTGTTTAAGCTTCCAGGCAGAGGCATGTGCCTAGGTGTCCTTTGTGTTGGAGAGCAGACATATTACAGCTGGAATCCCACCTGCACGTCTCCTTGCTAGACCTGTGTCATTTCTTCATATAACCATTAACCCATTGTTTTCCATGTCCATAATTCCCAGTTTGTCTCCCCATTCATAGTTAGTGTCTAAGGTCTGTCTCAGGACTTCTTTGGATCTGACACACAGGCTGTCCCCTCTGATGACCTGAGAGGAAGCATCTTCTGACAAGAACTGGGTTTCAAGACTCCTGACTCCAAGGCAGCATGGAGGCCCAGTGCAGTCCAGATATCCAAGCAAAGGCCTTGGCTCTGAAAGATCTAGGTTCAGTTTCTGCTCTGCTATGAGCTGCTTCTATCCCTGGGCAAAACCTTGAAAGACGCTTAGATGTCTGAAGACACAGATTGGTGCCTAGAGATATGTAGGTGTGTAATTCCCTCCCATTGCAAAATAGTCTTTAAAAGCTTTGTCAATAGTTTCTCGGCTCACCATCTGCAAACTATGCAATGCTGCACATCCTTGGGCAAAGAGGAAGTAAATGCACCAAGGAGCCATAAAAGTACCTGAGGGAGAGTGAAACTAAGCAGGAACCAGACCTTTCTAAGTTAAAGCCCTTGTCTAAGGACCACTGATGGAGAAATACTTCAACCGATATAAATATTTGGCTCAGATGCCACCAGCACAAACATTTATAGCACAGTCAAGTACCAAAGAGTGTAGCAATGTGTGGATAGAGGACATGGCAACATCTATATGGTAATGGGCTTCAACAAATAATGATAAACAATTATCCTAGCAGCAAGTTTTTCTAGGAGTGCTTTGTATAATAAATTGAGGGAATAAGCTCAGTGCATTATTAAAGTACTTATTTTAAACATCTATATGTTCCGTTGATTATATGGTGAAGATGTTGGCTTCAAGTGGGAATGTCTGATTTCTTAAACTATGGATTGCAACCTGTTCTCCCTCTCACTCCACATCCTCTACCCTAGACCCAACTGCAAAACCAGGGTTTGATTAGGTACTTTTCCACTCCATATCAGGGTATTATTAGACTCTCCAAAGCATTCAAAAAACCCCAGTAATTTCTATAAGTCTCTCATCTCTAATATATAGAGTTGGATTTTTTATTTGTGCATACAGGACTGTGTGTGTTTGTATTTACACGTGCACATGGGTGTAAACTGCAAGCCTGTGAAAAGCATATTGATGAGATGTAAAGCTAAATAAAAAAACCAAACATATTTTCTACATAGTTCTGACAATGGTGAGAGGCTCCGGTCACTCCAGGCACTGTTCAATATGGCATTGAGATCCAGAAGCTCAGTTCAACTCTTGTGATAGGTCCGTCTCTTCAATCTTGGATCTAGGATTGGGATTATAGCAAGTGAAGTGGGAGGCTACCGCTGCAGAGAGAAAGAGGATGGACAGGGATGGCAGTCTGCAGCAATCCCACAAAAGACTTTGAATATTAGCCCACAAGCTCTGGACTCTCTCTTCAGTGTGGGCAGCAAATAGAGAGGAGGACATTGTTTCTGGTAACTTGTGCTAGTGGACAGCAATATTTTGTCCTAAAGGAAGTTTATTTAAAATGGAGGATTTGATCACTATCTCAAATATAATTATTCCCTGTTAGAACAATACACTGTATCTCATGTTTATGGAAGATGAGAGATACATATGAATGGCTTAAGTGCCGTATAACTCATGGACAAAATACCCAGGCCAGGTGGTATACAAATGTTAGGATGGTAGTAGGAAACATCTCTAAAACTTCTGCTCTCCAAGCTTTACTCTACATTTTTTGTGGCTTTGCCTAAAAATAAACAAAACCAACCCCAAACTTACATGTTAGCAATTTCTTACCCAAGAGTTCAGCTCCTCAAGTCTGCATGTGCACAAGTCCAAGAAGCAGAGTATTCTATGCAATTAGGAGCATTCATCAGCTGCCACAAAACCTGCTTTTCTGCTGGCATAATATCCTTCTCTGAAAGGTGTTCTAAGCAAGTATTTCTATCATGCCTGTGTGGGAAAGACTCCACAAGATGGGGTGCGGTTTCATGAGCTATTGGAGGTGTTTACTTGGCATCACAGCTGAGCACCTGGGACAGGTGGAATGGGGAGAAGAAATTATTGGGTTCATCCTCTTTCACACTTTCACCCCATTTAATAATCATGTAACAAACCATCTCAGGAATCCTGTCAGCATCGGGCTACATAGCAGCCATGTTCCACTTTGTCATGTCTTTTGATTCAGCTAACAAAGCAGAGGCAAAAATCTAGTCCTTGGAGCTATTATCTGGCATTCCATGGAAGGCTGGCAAATTCAAAAGCAGAAGCTGAAAAGGAACAGGAATGCTCTGTTGAATTCCTCAGTACAAAACTACTCTGAGATTTGAAAGTAAGGAATAGGCAAAAGGATGACCTCAACATTTATATGGATAGGAGTCTGGATAGATCCCCTCTGCTCAGGATAATATGTTACTTTTCTTGGAGAAGCTCTTCTGCCCATCAGAATTTACGGAACTGTTTAAAACCAAATTTTTGTAAAATTGCTATAATTACATACATTTAAACTGGGAAACAGAGGAGGAAAGCTACCTTTCTCTTTGGGGATGCATCAGAAACAGTGGAAATTGGGAAAGTAAAAGACGTGCTGTATCCATGAGCTTCTCATGCCCATGTTGACTGGTCCAAGTCTGCAATAATAATATCCAGGCTTTAAAGAGTCTTTCTAAAATGAATCTCTGAGACACTCAGAATGAGCCATAACCAAACCAGAATGATTTAGAGAAGCTTTCACAAGCTATTTCTCCTGACACCTAGAATGCTGTAAAAGACTCACTACTGAAACCAAATGGACTCGAACCAAAAAAAACACACAGGAAAAGTCCTATCTTTCCTGCAAGTACAGATGAAGACTTGATTGTTTCAAAACAGAAACTGTTGAACAAGGTAACATGTCCAGCAATGTGCAAGTTACCAGTTTGTGCAGCAGTTGCTGGAAACCCCAGGAGGAGCCAGCAGGCTGTCACTGCAACCAGTGATTCAAAAAGTCACATCAAGCAAAACCACCTTGAGTGCTGAGAACAGTGGCACCAGGATAAAGACACCTGTCCCTAGAAAGTCCATAAAAGAAAGTCTGGAGAAACCTGAAAGCGGCAGAGATGTGTCTCGATGTTCATTTATACTGCTCCAGGAAAAACTTTTCACAAAACAAAAGTGCTAGAAGGGAAAGTTTGTCTACTGTGATGGAAAAGTGAACACAAGCTTTGCCACTGGCTCTAAATAAAATAAAACAGCTTCCCAAGAGTAGGAAAACTAAAAGGAAAACTGACTACTAAAGTGGACCAGGTTTGTTTTCATTCTCAGGAAATACAAATAGGAATAAAACATACAGAATTAAGATTATTTTACCATTCAGCTTTAGAGGTCTCAACGGTTTTATCAGTTGTAAATATATTTGGACAAATCCCCATCTGTAGTGAGTCACTTTAAGCTGTTGGCTTGTCTCTCTATAATTAAATAAAATGTATAGCTGACAATACTCTTTTACATCCAATTACACCAGCATAAAAGATTTCATTTTAAGACCAGTGTTTTCTTTTGTGTTACTGAAATTAAGATTTGTTCAGTGAAGATTCAAAAATATATAGCACTTCTGCTCCATCAGAAGATATATTAGTAAAGAATTCTTTAAGAACTTTCAATGGCAGAAACAGTCAGATGCCGGATTTGACCTTGTATGTTGGAGAAATTAAAAAGCTAATGAACTATTCCTGTTCAGCCAACAAATCTGAATATAGTAGGCTTCCCCTACCTTGAGAAAACCTGGAAAAACTGCAAATTAGATGGAAATCATATCAAAGAGATACTGCTAACCTAAACTAAGCATGAGAATTTCATGCTATATTCTTAATCTAAACCCAACTGTTAGTGCAAAGACATACAGCGCAAGACCCCGCTGATTCATTCATAATGGGCGTAGCTCATAGCTGTGCAGAAGGCTGGGGTAAAGTATATGCTTTACTTAAGTTTGTCAGGTTTGGGAGACCTAAGTAACACTTAGGACCTGTGGTGTTTCTCTGATCCACAGGCACTACAGCTAGTCTATGTGTTTACTAATCTAACAAGGTGGCCACTGCTTTGCATTCAACCCAGTACAGCTACTGCAGGGTAAGAACTCATATTCTCATTTCAAATGTAATGCACAATCCACAGGAGCGTCTCCAACTGTGTACAGCAGTGGATCTATGACATACAGCCAAGCAAGCAGTTAAATTCATTTATAAAATAATGCTGACAGAGGGCATGGTTTCCTCAGCTACCAGATGCAGATGCACTTGCACAAAAAAGAAAACTATAGAAATTTAAACTCCTGAAGCCGTTCCGTCCTGCAAAACACAGAATAACTCTTCCCACCCAGACACAGTCAGTATAGACCCCAGCACTTTCTCGGGAAGTTACTTTCTGCACAAAATACTGTTTTTCTGGTGTCCAGACTAAACCCTGTTACTCTGATCTAATAATTCTTTAAACCCAGCTTCTCAGTACATTTTTTTTTCTTGGCATTTTCACCCTGCAGCTATTTCAAAATAGGCAACCCCGTCTCCCTCAGGCCTCATTTTGTCAGGCATGTTTCTCCTTTATGTGTCAATCACTTCCACTTCTCACTTAAGGGCTCATTTTCTGTAGGAAACACTAGTTCTTGAAAGTCATATGACTTCCATGGAGCTTCAGCAGAGAGATATATACATTTGTGGCCTCTGAATTGTACTGCGGTTGTTATTTCACATTTCAGATAATGAGTTTGCCAGTCACTGGGATGGATTCTATTACCCACTTTAAATGGAAGCCAAATTTTCCTCCCTAAGTGCAAAAGATTTGGAAACACTTGAGTTGCATAGCAGTCACAAAGTTTCAGCAAATTTCTTAAGTTGTGTCTGTCACACTTGCTACCTCTCACCTACAAATGAGTTTTGGGTGTGATTACTCAGAAGGACCGCATTTGTCCCAATTCCTCCGCACAGTCACACCCCCTCCTCCACATGACAGGTATGTTGACATGTATTTTTGGTCACCACAACATGCCACTTGGGTGGCATCCTTCAAGAATGTGGCATGGGCTCAGCATGATCAATGATGAGAGGAACATTGGATGGGTCAAGACCAGAGTAAGAGCAACAGCAAATAATACCTCATATCCTGTGATTGCTATCTGGTGCATGGAGTCATTTACTGATTTGATGATATCAAGCATCGTGGCGAGGGCTTCTTCCAATTCAGCGGTACCCTCTGAATTCTTGCTGCACTTCAGCATTTCCTGATTAAAAAAAAAAAAATGAAAACTACTTGAAAACTTCTTATACCAGAAGCCACCATAAGACAATCCTCCCTGAAATTTGCATTGCATAGACAAAGTAGCAGAACTATAGGAAAAAAAAGAAAAGAAAAAAAACCAAAACCAAACAGGACATTCACCAGGATTGTCACTGAGGACGTACATTTTGACCTTTTGGACATTTTCAAGTTTTATGGGTTCATTTAAGATAAGACAGGACCATTCTGACATATTTACAATGAACTTTTTGCACGTCACAAAACTACACCCAGGTTTTTTTCACTCCACATCTGCTAGAAAAGAAACTCAATCTTAATATAATGATTTCAGGTGTTAGAGAATTCACCATTTCCCTTTGCAATTTGTTCCACAAGGTACTTATTACCACTGTTAAAAATATAAACTAATTTCTAGTCTGAATTGGTAGGTTTGATGTTCCACTCATCAGGTCTTAGCAAGCTCTTGTCAGATAAATTCTGCATGGGAAGAAGTCGCTTCCTGTGTAGATGCTTGTAGACTTATGCCCAAACCATCTCACAAATCTCCCTTCCTTAAATTAAATGAGACTTCTTTAACCTATAAGACAGGTTTTTCAGCTGTTAATTTTGGGGGGGGGAAATAGACCAGATTACTATAGATTTTCCCCACCTCTTATTCTCTACCTCTGCACTACAATCTACAGATCTACATTTGCAAATTTGAAAACCTTTTTTGAGAGGTAGTAATTTTGAAGAACAATGTTGACCTCTAGTAAAAATTCAAACATTATATTCTGCTTGAAATAAGGGAAGCTATTCCACCTTCCAACCCTTGCACAAGGAACAAGAGACAAAGTTCTGGACAAGTTAAGAAGCATGTGCCCAAAGCAAAGAAACAAACAAAACCTTTTGAGGGCTCAGTTCCGTAATCACTTCACATACAGAGATGCTATTTAGAGTTCCAAATATTTAGGGCCAAGTACTTACATAGCCCAGTACAGTTCCTTACAAGGATGACTTTTCTTATTTGTCTATGTGTCTTTTGCTTGAAAAGTTCTAGTCATAGCTCAGGACTTAATTATCTTCTTGTAACCAACGGTTACAACCTATGAAAATCCTGAAAGACACTAAAATCTTCATTTTAAATGAAATTAAATGCCTTGCCTCTTGCTCTTCTGCCTACAGAGGAGCCCTGAACCTGACTCAGATGCACAAATTGTTTTTTCCACCAGAGATCAGAATCAGACTCTATATCTTTGCTAAAAGCATCTAGGGAAGAAAAGGTTAACAGATACAAACCCACATATGGTTGGTACAGTCTTGAGAAGACATGAATCTCCAAACAGCTGGAAGATCCCAAGACTACACCATAGAATTTAAAACCAAAGCCAATCGGGATTCCCACCATTAAACAGAAAAAGTGAGATGACTGTAACCAAAAGTAGTAAGATAACTGATTACTGTCACATATAGTGACCTGTGATTTTGATGTTTGGAATCTGCATCCATTAATCAGCTGAAAGAATAAATTTATTGGTTGTTAATGAGACAATAGTTCCAGTGACAGAATTCATAACCAAATAACCATTTGATTAATCATTATTGACTTGTCTCTGCCCTATATATCTACAAGTGGAATGAAAGAAGTCTTTGGCTGGATGCAATTTTCACTTCAGAAATGCAAGCTGTGAAGAAACTAAGAAATAAGTTCTTGTAATAATAGCACCTCACTAAGAACTGTACGATAATTGAGTTTAGTTTTGTTTCCTTACGCTGACTACAATGTCCCCAGAAATTATGCTCCAGAAATACACCTAGGAATGAATCAAGACTCTACTAACTTTAGTAATCTTTATTATAGTAAGAATTAGATCCCTTCAGCAGGGGTGGTCATTGACATGATTTTCATTCAGGCATATCATTTTCAGCCACATTTTGAGTTTGGAAATCATTTAATCCAAAAGCTGAGGCACTTGTGTTCCTGCAAAACAGGGCTGCAAAAAGGTAGTTCTTGCAAACCCCAAACAGCAGCAGTCTCTCCTCAACTGCTTGGGTGACTAGGGCTTAGAAGGAAAAAGCAGGATGCATTCCTATAGTACCTGTTGCACAATTTCTAGGATGAGGATGGATCCCTGCTCTCTGCATAGTGGGCATGCTGCTTTATAATATTAGCTGAACTGATTGAAACCAAAGGGTTGCAATAATTGTGACCCAGGATTTAAAACTAGTCTGCCCATCACTCAAGGCACGCAGCTTCTTAGGTACTTGTTTGTTACCAATTCTTCACTGACTCCCATATTCCTACACTTTTAAATGCTCCTGCTGCCAGGGTAAGAGTGCACCATCTTCACAGATCTCATAATCTTTGACAAAGTAAATGTCCGTGCCAATGTGTTGTTGCTAAGTACAAAACTGGTCTGACCAGCTTCAACCCCAATGGCTGCAACCTGTTTTGCCTAAGAATTTTACTCCTTGATCTAATCTTGGTTTTATTTACAGTCATATTTCAAATTAAAAGTAGAATCTGGTTTACTCTTGCTCTTCTGAAGACCTTGACATTTCCTCCATTGTCACAGAATAGTTTCAAGAAATAGAGCCAAATTTACTTCTGGATTACATTGATGTAAATCTACTGGAATCAGTGATTGTTAATATCCCCCTTCAATATTCGGATTCTACAGTTTTGTGTAAAGTCAATAAACAGGTCACAGAAATACCACACAAGTGAATGGCCAGCCAGATCCTCACATGGCTTAAACTGGCACAATTTGACCAGCGCCATGGTAGCTATTAGCAAATAAAATTGCAGCCTAAAATCTTCGTTGCAAATTTCACGCTAAATTTCGTGACAGTACACAACACTACATTAAGTCCAGAGGCTTGAGAACAGCATGTAATTCACCTTCATGACCTGCCCATAAGGAAAGTCAGTAAACATTATTTTTAAGAACTGAGGCGATGAAGACAGAAATTTAAGCCACCATCTTCAAAAAATGTCATTAGTTTGAGAGCATATATTTCCTGTTACCCAGTTCAGACCAGAATTTCAAGCATGGACCACTCACAGTTCCAACCAAATCAAGAGGGAAGTTCACACATTCATCCTGTGGAAAAGTTACAGGCAATTTGTTCCTAGCTGGGTCTTTAAAACAGAAGCACCAAAAGGGAGTGGCTCCTTCTGAAAGGTTTGAGTCACAACCATGGGAAAATATCAGGTTCATAGAACTGAAAGGATTTTGTTAAACAGGGACAGATGTCAGAGACAGGATTTAAAGCATCTGTTCCTGTTTTCAAACTGTAAGACCATATACTGATCCAATAAAGCCAAATTCAATTTCTGTTTAAAGACAAATAAAACAATAAATAAAACAATAAAATACTATATAAAATATCTTACTTTACATATATATAGCAGTATACACATAATAATAATACACCACTATTGCTTAGTATATACGTACTTCTAAGTAATAGCAGTATTTACTCTGAAATAGAAGTCCTTTCTTCGATTGTTTGTTACTGTTTTACAACTTAGCATTACAAAGTATTTGTTGAAGAAGTGAGAGAGGATTTATTTCCAGGGAGTCCTTCAGAAAATAATGCTGATATGCAATTCTGTAAGTAAAACAAGCTATGCATTGGAATTCTTTGCACTGTCATGGAGAACTTACCTTTAACAGCAACTGGTACTTGGTGATTCTCTGGACTGGCTTTAAGAGATAAGCATCTAGTGAGAGCTTATGATCCAATTTACGCTGACATTCCTGTAAGAGACAACAGGGAAGAAAAATACAATTGATTCTTGAAGCACAGGCAAGACACCAAGATCATTATCATTTGGTTATCTGAAGATTATATGTCTGTGAATTAATTGAGAGAGAAATTTGTTCCATCTGCATAGCCATTTCCAGGTTACTTATGCCACAGTGAAAATATATCTAAACAAGAGCTAACGTTTAGGTTCAACTTAGCCTCGAAATCTGGCATGCTCTACTCATGAGATTGCGGTCATCTGGGGTTTGCAAAGAAGCCAGCACTTCTTTGGTTTGGGTATAGCCTGGAGAGTCAGGCTCCTGTGCAGGAAATCTGCTTGCTGCTCTACCTACCTAGTGTCCTGTAGAGGGCACCTTGACACATACTGAGCACCTGCCATCAGTATAAGAAGCATGCAGAAAAGTCTGTATATTTCTCTAAGTTTTCTAAAGAAAGAAGAGCTACAGAAGGAAAACAAGCTTTGATGGTCTTGCACTACTACTCTGCAATGATATTCCACCTGAAAAAAGATGCTGTCTCCACACTGCCTCCAGAGAGCTTCAGACCTTGGCTTGTTCTGACAGTATTTTTCATATATTTGGAGGTCCTCTTTCTGCAAGAAAAGGAGAGTTTAAGTAAGGTAAGAAAAAAGAATCCACAGAGCATCTGCCTTGAGTCACACTTTTTCTTACCTTCCATCCTAACACAGGAAGTAATTAATTCATGGTGATAACTCTGTATGTAAAAAATATACTGAAGATACCAAACTTGCTTTTTACTCCTGTAAAATTAAATACACTCAAAAGTGAGATTTTTTTCTCTCACTTTTTGCACAAAGCAAGGAGAATGCAGACTGGAAGACACATAATCTAACTGCAAAACTGTTATCTTCCAGAGAGGGGAATAGATGGCTTGAAAACAAAAAACATTAGAAATGTAAATTTTGTTAACAGTACTGGCACAGACTGGTGATTGCTAACAACACTCACCACTTAGCCAAGGTTTACATGTTCAAAACACTTTGAAAATAGTGTTGGCTCTCAATAGTACCAGGATGAATTAAAAAGTAGCAAGTTGTCTTGTTGATGTCCTAGGCTAGGTAGAGGAAAGTGCTTAAACTCTGTCCTATCCAAATTAGAAGTGGGTGGATTCACTTAACCTCTATTTACCTTTGATTACACTCCAGGTGCTCTCACTGAAGTCCATGCCAAAAAATCTCACTGACTTCAGTGAAAACAAAGGCAATCTCTATAAAAGCCCAGAGAGGTGTATTTTAAGATCCCTAGACTATATGGGTGGATACAGATGGAGAGCAGTTCCTCTGCCAGGTTCTCAGCTCGCTAACTGTGCACCCGGTCGGCACAGAAGCCCTGCAGACATATGACCATGGAGCAGCGCCATACAGATTCCTGAGCAGGGCTGGCTATGTCGGACCGGCTGGGAGCTTCCCATCTTTGTCTGCACCTATCCTGGTGGACGTGACCTCGGTGAATCAAAGACAGCGCCAAAAACAGATCTCAGGAATTCCTGGCTCTTGCCTCTGTGCTTTCAGCCCACTAGACCGTGCCTATACACTCTTGGTGCAGGGAAAGCATTTTCTTTTGTATAGAGTTACTAGAAGAAATCAGTATTGCTGCTGTCTTCCTCTGTAGGCCTATACTGGCGTCACCCTGATGAATCAGATGTGAAAGCAGAGCAATGCCATGCAACACCTTACTGTGTGCAGGATTATGCAATACAAAAAGCGCCGTTGCAACTCAATACAGTATTAATGGCGCTGTTTCAAAATAAGCAGAGAGTTTTCTTCATGCAAATAGGATTGTTTGTATGTGTTGCCTTGGAGGGAAGTTAGCAGGGGGTAAAACCCACAAAACTAAAAGTAATAACAAAGTGTAACCAAGCATTACAATTTGTTCCTGGCCCACAGAAAGCTAATCGGACTGGGCAAGAAGAACAGACACAGCGACAGTCAAGAGCACTATTAGGAGTAAAAGAAAAGTACCAATTTAAATTTAAAGAAAAGGTACAATGATCAACAATTTATCAGTAATTTGTCATAGTGGAACCACCCTATGCCAATGCAATCTACCGCTGCCTATATCAGTGACAGCTGCTCAGGCAGATACTTACATCTTTAAATACAGCTTTAAGTTTTGTAATAGAGTAAGGAATAGAAAATTCCTGATGAAATTACTAGGATCAGACTCTAAAATGCCAAGAAATAATTAATTGCCTAATTACTCAAATCCCAGTCTTAAATGTTCCACACATCTCTCTTTTCATATCCAAAGGTTCTGACCTCTTGCTGGTACTTTTACATCATGCTCATCTCTCCTGTAATGCTTTTCCTTTCCACGGTGATTTGCATCCTGAGATCTTTGCAAGCTTTTGCGCACATGGCATATATGCAGAGTTCCAATTATCTTTTTGACTGCTGATTTATGAATAGAATTTGCTTCCGATTAAAATTTAGCCCTTTGAATCCAACTCGCAGGTTTCTGGTCAGCTGCTACAGTCCTTTCACAGATAGCTTCCTTTTCTAAACACTTCTTTCTCCCTGAATGACTAAATGCCTCAACTGCTGGCTCCGATTAAATTATTCTCTTTTTCCAAGGTCAGCAATATGAATAAGTAAACAGTGGTAATCCACAGTGAGTCACTCCTGCCAGACACCTCACCTGGCACATGGTGATAAGCAATCTGACACACCTTTTGTTTCTTCCTGGGCATTCTTGCCTTGGTTTGGTAAGGTTTCCTTCGTCCCAGCCTCGTGTTTAGCAGATCAGCCCAGAGTGTCCCTCTCACTGCTGATAGAGCACTAGAAGAACCATCCCGCAAGGCATTCAGTACACATCCCTCCCCTCATTGAGCATCTGTGCAGTCCTTGCCACGCAGAGCTTTAAGCAAGGTCAAGCATCTTGGTGATGGTATAATAGCTGCCATGTGGGCAAAGTTGAGCTGGCTTACTTGTAGTTTAGTTCATATGAAGATCATGCCCTAACAAGGTCAAGCAAAGTGGGAGGGAGGACAAGAGGGGCATTTTTGGCTCATCTTTCACCTGATTCAGCTGCCTTGTTCCAGGAGAGAAGCCAGAGAGGAGAAATAGGCTGGGACTCCACAGACCGTTTCTGCCATCACCTGAGAAGAAGGGTTCACATCCATGGTGACAGCTGACCAGGTAGCACTGGTGGAGGTGGGAGAGTGTGTGGGGACATGGCAAAGGAATGACTAGCAGGGGATGGAGGGACTCAGGCAGCAGGGCATCCCACTGCAGCTCTCAGGACGCTTTCAAGCAGCTCTGGAATCAGGGCTGAAAAGCCCCACTGTGATCAGACAGGGTAATATTCTTCAAGTATGAATCTAAAAATCAGTCTGTTTCTAATCACAAGCCAACCACAATGTTGTGGCAGGATGGTTACACCCATACAAAGAAGGAGAAATGGAGAAGTGAATCTGCAACAATGCAAGTTTCCTCCCAGAACTCGGCATCGCCTTGAACAGCAGCCGTTTCAGCTTCCCCCATGCCAAAACACGCATGGTCATAACTC